ACAATCTTTAAGTCTCTTACCAAGAATGAAAGCAACGGTCCCACAGACATCAGGAGAATGGGACAGAAATACAGGCAGTTTCCCAGTGACTGTCAGCCTTCCTTCCAGAAATCTGGAAAACTGCTAAAGCTAGGAGAAGCAGAAACCAGGGCAGCTGACCCAAGCGGGCCAACAGAAGTATTCCATACCATAAACACCATGCTCACTATAAACTGGTAAGTTTGCTGGGGATGGGCCCTCTTCCTCAGTGGTCGCCATCCCTGCAGGGTCTTGCCGTCACTCTGCTCTGGAGGCCATCTCTGCCGCTTGCGTGACTGCCCTGCTTTCGCTGGAGCTGTGGTGCTTGCAGGCCTTGACATCCAGCACCCACTGCTGGGAGCGTGCAGCTCGCCACCACTACATGGGCCGAGTAGAACTTTGTGTACTTTATATTTGTATTAATATTAGTTTTTTATTATTATTTTATTAAATCTGTTTCCATGTCAACCCATGGATTTCCTTTCCTTTTTGCAAGTCCCCTCCTTGGGTGCGGCGGGGGCGGGGGGCGGCACTGGGTAATAGAAAAACTGACTAAATGAAGACAGTAACAAAGCTGCTCCATCATTTTCAAAAGCAATCCCTGCCCCACACCTAAACACCAAGCTAAGATACAAGAAACCAAATCAAGTGCTGCAGGTGCCATCTGGTACAACAGAAGCCTTAATTTGATGTTTTTTAACATAATACTGCACATGACATCTGAGTGCACCTGGAAGGACTTAAATACATACATAATAGTGTGAATTTACAGCTAGTCTTACTTTCTTGTCTTGATGATGCACTTCATAAAAAAAATTATTCTAAAGCTTCTAAAAGCAAAAGTACCTGGTGTCCTTAGAACTACAATACCCTACATAAAAAGCAGGCAAGAATGCCACTTTTTCAAAAAAAGTAACTTCATAGTAGTATTTAAATAACCTCTTGGGTATGAAACTTAAAGTGACAGAAAACTTGACAGTTTTTTCATCCAAACTCCAATTCTTCCTCATCCCTTTGCTTCTTTTCTAACGGAGGAGGAATGCCCTCAAGTCAAGCAGTTACCTACAAAGACACACTAAGTGTTTTAGAAGACACTCGAGGCTATTTCCAGCTTGACTATGAATGGAAAATCCCGAGGTAAGTGCCTGCACCAAATAACTGTATAACATATTTGTCAAATGCCAAAATTATCTAAGGCAGATTCAATTCCAAGGACTTCTATCCAGTGCCAAAACCCACTTTTGTGAACGCTGTATCTCACAGAATTCAACAAGCAACACCGCAGGCTCAGATGACTACCCTGCCAACCCAAGTAGTTCATACGAGCCTAACACACAAAAAAGAGTATCACCATTATTAAAATCTTACTAGATTAGTCCGATTCTCTTTCTTTTACCTCAAAAGGAAAAGTATGAGACAGCTTTACTCCTAAGTTGCAGGCTAACGAGAGGTACTTACATACAATTCTGTAAGGCAGTGCTGTTCTCTCTCCCCCACCAAGCTTCAAGGACACAGTGCCATGGCACTGGAGATAACATCTGTGCTAGAATTTATGGGTACAAATTGCAAGTAGTTGCGGCCAATATTCAGCCCACAGAGCCTGAATGACCACTGCCTCAACCATGTTTCCAGTTACTGTATATCTTGAATACAAGGCACACTTCACTTACATAATTTAATATTAATTACCCAAATAAGGAAGAGCTACAGAACTGGGTCTCTTTTTTCCAATCTCTGTTTCCATAAATGGAACTAATTTAACGTGCAACTATTCAAGCATTAGTCCAAATCATTTAAATTGTGTCTGCACAAGTGATTATATTTGTTCAAGCATGGTTATCATTAGGTCCACCATTTTTCACTAATTCATCAACTGGATTCACCAAGGCACTAGATGACTAATTGAATAAGGTAAAAAGTTCTATTTTAATAAAAACATATTCTTCAATTTAAGTAAGTTATCTCTTGAAGGTTTATTTCTGAATCTGTTTATAATTAGACCTTTTTAATTTCTGAAAAGAAAGTATTTGTAATGGATAAAAGAATATTCAGCAGATAACTATTGATACTTTTACTTGTATTCTCTTCTGTGAGAGAAAGAGGGTTTCAGTCAACTACAGAGCTTGAATTTATTTCTTTTTAAAGGAAAACTGCTATAACAGCTCCCTGGAATACAATACTGAAGTACTACCTGTAGCATTATTTCTACAGAATATTTTGCTGAAAAAAATATTATTTCATTTAATGGGTGTAAAATAAACAAAACCCTGTTAGACTGCCAGACTGGCATACACCATCATCCCTATTCACAGGGCAGTTTAAAAAGAGACAAATAAGTATTTATGTACTGTTTACCATATGCTTCTTCCACAAGGAAGGAAGCCTCATTCCTCCTCAATTCTACATCAGGTTAACATATATCTCAAGCTGAGCTGTCTATTCAATATACACAGACATTTGTTTCAAAATAGCTTAAGACTGTACAGAGAACCAGCTGGCAAGACACAACACACTGCTGTATTTCAGTACTTTTTAGTAGGGCCTGTAACAATAGGAGAAGGCGTAATGGTTTTAAACTAGAAGAGAGCAGATTTAGACTAGATAAGGAAGAAATTTTTTACAATGAGGATAGTGAAACACTGGAACAGGTTTCCCTAAGAGGCTGCAGAGGCCCCCTCCCTGGAAATGTTCAAAGTCAGGTTGGACAGGGCTTTGAGTAAACTAACGTAGTTGAAGACGTCTGTGCTCACTGCCAGGCGGTTGCACTAGATGGCCTTTAAAGGTCCCTTCCAACTCAAGCCATTCTACAATTCTATAATATGAAGCCCTGCACATGGCATAGAAGAACCCCATGCCAGCGTATGACTGGATAGGAAGCAGTTTTGCTGAAAAGGAGCCAGGGCTCCTGGGGATAACAAGCTTAACACAGGTCAGCAGTGTGCCCTTGTGTTGTATAAAGCCAACCGCACCCTTGTCTGAAGCATATCCCAAAGACTGAAAGAAGTAACCTTCCCCCTTTATTTGGCACAAGAAACTGCATCTGGAGTACTGGGTAGGGTTTGGGGCTCCCCAATACAGCAAGAACATTGGCATACTGGAACAACTCCAGCAGGAAGTTACAGAGGTGATTAGATACCGGAGCACATGATGCATGAGGGTCAAAGACCTGCGCTTCCTCAGTGTTCAGAGGGGTGGTGGAGGGAAATGTGATTACTGTCAATATCTAACATGAGGGTATACATAAGGTGGGGCTAGACTGTAAGGTTAGAGGACGTGGGCAGCAATAAGTCAAGTGTTAATGGACACAATCTGTTGTGATAAGAGAAAACCTTATTAGATTGGATGGGGGCGGAGGGGCAGGGAAACAAACAAGAAAAAAAAAATCACAGTGAGGGCAATGGAGCTTAGAACAGGAACCCAGAGAGGAATTTCCATTTTTGGAAATGCACAAAGCTCAACTGGGCAAGGCCCTATACAACCTGACCTCAGTTGAGTATGTGTTTGGAACAGAAGACGCCCAGAGGTCCTTTCTACCCTAAATTGTTCTACAGTATTAAGCAAATAGACACTAATTGCTGTTTCGCAGCAGAAGTTCTCATAGATCCACAGTTCAAGTTGTAGTCAGAGATCCAAAGTTCAAGGTGTAGTGAAATTACTCCCAAGTGGTGCTACTTTGCCAAGAGGTACCAATTTGAGTTCTGCAGTCTAAGTTTGGACAATACACATTTTTAACTGAATACATAGAAGCAGAATCAAAAAAATAGGGCCACAGAATATGGTGTGGCTTGCCTTTGCTAAGTAGAAGAAGTGTGAGATAAAGGTGGGGAATTTGGGAATCACTACAGATGAGGGCATCTGCTGCAGACTAGGTTGGTCCCTGTGTTTGGGGACCCTGACAAGTTGACAAGCTAGCCTAAGAAACCCAAATCATGAAACATCTTGGATTGCATGAAAACTTTTTCCCCCCCAGAGCATTTAATGAATAATCCCTTCAAATTAATGTACCTATTTTAGTGCTCAACTTTAATGCTCATATCTTTCCAAAACCAGTTGATTTAAACCTGTTTCTAGCAAGACAACTCTAGAGGAGTTCAACACTAACACCTTTCAAGACTAAGAAAAAAAAATAAATTAGTATTTTTGCTTGAAGCAACAATAAAAATACCTCACCTTGCTCTCTTGAGAAGAGATATATATATATATAAAATCAGGATCAGAAGAGCAAAAGTCTTAACGATATTCGCAAAGACAATGATCATTTGTCACACTTGCCAAACGATATTCATTAAAGTGACCTACAAGACATAATTATTCAGTAACTGTGCAAATAGCTATCAAAATTACGCTAATTTCCTTTCATTTGCCAACTATATCATTAAAGGCATATGAAAGAGGGAAGAAAAGATTTTTTTCAAAGGTATAAGGCAACTTTATGTTGGAGGCTTACTGACCACTCTTCCAGACAAGCATAGTCTTTTGTATCCACAGTGGCCAGACTGTGTGGAAAAAGAAGCCCAAATAAGATCAGCGACAGATGAACATAAAAAGAAAAAAGGCATGAAGAAAACAGTAGGTCAAAGTAAGCTTAATAATAATTCTTCAGTGCTTGATAACTCTTGAGGTTTATTTCACAAATTTAGAAAACACAGGTGTACAACCACAGCAAGTCATGGCTTGCCAGTAAATTCCCTCTAAATCAGATCAGTTACTGTATCAGTTACTGGACTAACAACAAAACACTGAAAGTTCCCTTTTCTCATTATGAGCACACTATGCTGGAATTTAGGACCAAGAATGCTATCCCTGAGACCTACTTCTTCATGGAGAAACCAAGTAGAAATTTGTTTTGACAAAACTATTTACATCACGCCAATCTATGGGCATCTGCCACAAGTATTACTTTATTTGACTATTATCTTTCTCACCTGTTCTACAGGAGCACACACAGTCACATATTGTGTTGGAGAAATACCATGAAACTAACATTAATTGTGTATTTTGAGCAAAAGCATTATATGACTGCCATAAGCAGCTCTAATCCAACACCCAATCAGCAGAAAGTCTTCATTCACTTCCAGGTAACATTTCAATATGCCTGTTGCACTTGCAATTTAGAAGTATCACCTAGTACTTGACAGGTTTTTGCTTGGTTTTGTTGTGGGTTTTTTAAGGCTTTTTTTTTTTTACTTTTAAAGACATACAATATAAGAAGGGATCTGTCTACCTAAAATAAGCAACTCACAAAACAGTGACAAAAGACAATCTCCATAGGGGGTCTCTTGTCTGCCTAACTAAACAAAACACATGGTTGCATTAGAATACTTCTAGCATATGCAGATGACACCATCTACCACAAATGCTTGCAGTCTGAATGGAAATTAAGCCAATCTTGACCTTTCCACCTGCTATTAACTCATGCAGAACCACTTTTTTTTTTTACTCACACAGTGCGGCTGATCTCATTCAGCTGATTATTCCCATCCTCAAGTGCAGGACTGAAAGGTTCACATCGTTTCCATCCATCTTCTGTTTTAACCCATCTCCATCCAGGGGATCTCCAGTCTTGGCCCAAAAATGGCATGGTTTCTCTACAAGCAGCAAGAAGATTGTTTGTGTATTATTTAGTTATTAAGAAAAGTCGCAAAACTTCTTGTCATTATTTCAGTTTCCTCTTTAACCTTAAAAAAAAATCATAATGATTACCTTGAGGAAAGAAAGATCTCTGTAAAGTGTCCTTTTTTAAAAAGAGATGCAGTGGTTTTGTAAGAACATTTTTGTTCTGTAACCTCATTCTTCTTGTCTTTCAGCATTTATTAGATCAAGGTAGGTTTCCTAGTTCTTTAGAGAACAAGGAAAAGAATCGTGGTAGTCCAGGAAAGGGATGAGACCTGACTAATAAATGGTTGTTAAAGAGTTTGACAGGCCACAAAAAAAAAAAATATCAATGTGTCTCCTTTCATTCTCTCTAAGGCTTACAAATACTGACTTTGAGCTACACTATATAGTGATGTTTCAGTAAAGGAATTTTCATCTTCCCAAACATTTTTTCAGTTGTTGTTGAAGGTCACCTCCCACGCTAGGCTGTTAACTGGGTACCAGGACAAACAGAGACTGCCACATAAAGTCAATTGTGAAACATCTCCTCAAATTCCTACAAACGGATACAAGTCATCACAGTTGTATCATTCAAACAGCGTCCTGCTACCCTTTTTCATAAGGCAGATTTGCTCCTGACACACTGTGTAAGAATCTGAACACAGCAGTTTTCTACACTTGGAAGATTCTGTCCATGCTAGCTTTAGCCCTCTTCTTTCCATTCATCATGCACAGCTGTTGCTCCTTAACTAGAGATTTCACATATAAGCTGTACAGGGAAAATAGTGTTATCATATTTGAAACATATGTTAATACATAACATCAACAGCTTTGTTCCGAACAAGTATGCATGTTCTAGTATTTTTTCAAGCTGATTAGGCCTCAAACATTGCTATGAATTTATTTATCCATTTGCACTCTTGACAGCATCTGCCCAATATACTAGCTAGAACAGGAAAAGGCACAGAGGCATAAAAAGCCTGAAGAAATACAAGTTGAGTGAGCCAGTAGTTTTGTTTATTATTACTTTTTTATTAACTTGAAAAAATATTTAAAATATTTCAAAAATACTTACATTGATAAAGAATTGTTGGGAAAAGGAAGTGAAAACACAGAGACAACATACTTGCAGCAAGGTGGGAACATATTGTTAGAAGTTAACAGGATAAGTTACAAAAAAATCAGGATAAAGAAAAAAGATTACTGAAAACAATACAGGAAAACATGGAATATTTTGTTCAAGTGGATGAAAGTAGCTGAAGTCCAAAGCTAATCATAATTTACAGATTAGGATGCTTAGTATGCTTTATAAATTCTTAAACTTCGCAAAAAAAAACCCCACCCTGTGGTTTCAAGGTATTGGGGCACCTGTGTAAGAGCTATGTGTAACTTCCTCCTAGGAAGCTGTACTGGCATTTAAAAGGACATGCTTCAATAGTTACACGCTCTGAACCAGACTGCTTTCCAGTTCTTTAGATCCTGAAAAGGGATGGTCTTTCATTGCAAGGTTTCAACACAGAATAAACGTCCTGTCACTCCTCAAAAAAATTACATTAAGTGTTTTCAAAATAACAACAATGGTATCAGAAGTGCACACACGACTACTGATGTCTGCTCCAGAAAGTAGGAAGCTCCTGCAAAACCATCCGTAAGACAAAAAGCACAGAGACACAAATGGTTTCTGCACACGTATGATATATTCAGCACATTATTTTCTAAGGAGAAAAAAAGCTATTAAAAAATTACAAATTTCTTTAAAATTACTTAAATATTTGTGGAAGATTACAAGAAATGAGTGAGGTTGGTATACGTTGACCTAATTTTTCTCCAAAGAAACAGATACTCTTAGTCCAAGACATAGTTTCACTAATGCACCAGCTAAGAGCGCATCTATCAGTAGCAATTCCACAAAATGACCTGTAGTCATGCTCGAAGGTTGTAGCTTATGGAGTCAGAAATGTAAAAGTATTCTTTGAGCAACAAGGCATATGTGACTAGAAAAATAAAAAATCCCATTGCTTCGCGATTCCTGTAGGACTGAAGTGTAGATTTGACTGTTCTTCAGAAGCAGATGACCAAATTTTAAGAAGCTGCAGTGCATTAAACTTCTCTCCTACGCATCTCTTTACCAGGAGAAGCAATTACAGAGTATGACTGACTGGACAGGTAAGAAGAGTCATGCTTCTGCTCTGCCTCCACTCAGACTTTGCTTCCCAGTACAGCACTGCACCAAAGCATCCCTGCAGCTTCCAGACCAGAGCTTGCTTTCAAGACGTCCAGCATATGTCACGTAGTATACTTTCAGTAACAGCAAGCAGATGATTACTTGTTAAAACATTCACCACAACAAAAGAAGAGCTGCCTAGATTTCAATTTTGGGGAAAATGCAGTGGGACAGGGTTTTTTAAAGCAAAAGAGGACTGGGAAAGGAACTTGGTCACTAGCTAACAAGAGTTTAAGACAAGATGTTGATCGCATTTAACTTCTTCCTAAAAACAAGAGTTCTTCACCTTGCATCATACACCTTTTCCTCAGGAGAGGGGGAAAGAGGACTGAGGAAACGGGAACAACCAGAAAGAAGCAGAGGAGGGCTGCATATGCCAGTTTAGAACAGTTTGGGATTACTGTAATCCTCCAGCCATCCTTGTGCTTGTAAGGGAGTTCTACTTTCCATGAGGTAGATCACTTACCACATGAGCAAAAATCACTGCAAAGCCATTCATAATTGCAGCAAGTCATCCTATTACTCTGCCCCTGTACTGCAGATCTCATCTGTCTATATAATCCTACACTTAAGAACATGTCATTATGACCCAAACCATTTTTGTTATTCAGTAGCAAGACTGTTGCCAACATGACGGGAACAGGCAAGGTCCTCTTGTTTCCTAACAATCCAACAGCACGCCCCTCTTCCTTTGGCATGCTAACAAAATCTCTTTAGCAGCTCAACTTCCAATAGAAACTGCTCCTTTACAGGCAGATGACTTCTTGAACTACCTTCTAAGGAGCTAGCCCAGGCAACCTCTGTGACTCAGCGGTCAGAGTCTGCTTGGAGATTTCATCACACCCCATGTTTTCTCATATCAAACGACTGCTCAAATTAAGTCTCAAACTTCCGCAAGGCTATGATTCAACAACTCCTCAGCTCTTCTGTTGCCCACCTCTACCCTGATTCTTATTTCCCCAAATAACAATTTTAGTGCACCCAGGCCATGCAGATCTCAGTTCTCAACAGGCACAAATGCTCCTCCACTCCAACTGAGCCGCCTGCCCCAGGCTTCTTCCCTCCTGCCTGCTGCTGCCCCAGCCCTGCCTTCTCCCAATTTCCCCATCCTCATGCACTCTATTGATATCCGAACACCCCACTCCTCCAGGCAGGCTCCAGACATCTCCCCACTAGACCTCTCCATGCTGCTTGCTCCGTTCCTAGCCCCGGCCCCATTTTCCCATCCTGACCCCAACACCTTGTCCCAAACTACTCCAGCTTCACACTCCCCTAAGGCCCAGTCCCACGCCCCCACCCCCCAAGCTATGCCCACCCATTCCATCCACACTCAGCCCCAAACCCCTGGGCC